CAGAATATCTCTGAAATACGACCACTTCTCATTTCTTTACAGCTGCGACTCCAGTCCGAGCCCCATCACCTCTTTCCAGAATCGGCCTCTGCCAGGTCCTTTTGCTTCCAACTTTGGCCCTTCCATGGCTATTTTCAACAAGCAACTAGAAGATTTTTTTTTTAAAAAAAAATTCTAAATGAAGTCTGGTGTAGTGGTGCACCTGTAGTCCCAGCAACTCGGGAGGCTGAGGCAGGAGGATCTGTTGAGCCCAGGAGTTGGAGGCTGCAGGGATCTATGGGTGTACCTGTGAATAGCCACTGCACTCCAGCCTGAGCAACAAAGAGAGATCTTGTCTCTAACAAAAAAAAAAAAAAAAATTCTAAGTTAGATCTGTCACTCCTTTACTCAAAACCTCCCAGTGGCTCCCCATTCCACTCTGAACAAAAGCCACAGCCCATATAATGCTCAGGAGGCACCGTGTAAACCACTCTTCCCACCCGCACCTCTCCTGACCCTCTCTTCTGCTGCCCTCCCCTCCCCTTGCCTCCATCCTCAGGGCTGTTCTAGCACTTGCCTGACCTGCTCCTGCCTTAAGGCCTTAGCATTGGCTGTTCCCTCCACCCGAAACACTGTTCCCAGACATCCACAAGGCTAGTAGTTCCCTCCCCTCCGGGTCTTTGTTCAAATGCCACCTTCTCAGCAAGGCTTTCTCTGACTACTTATTTAAAACTTTATTCCTTGTCCCTCCATCCCCGAACCCCAACCTAATTATGAGTATTTCCCTAATCCTTATGACCCTTCCTAAATAATACACTGTATCATTTACTTCGCCATACTTTTTGTCTGTCTTCCTCCACTAGAACAGAGGGGTCCCATAAGGGTGGAGATTTTTCTCAGCGTTGTTCACAAATGTATCCCCAGAGCCTAGAACAGTATACACTGCTAGGCACTCCCTGAATAAATACTGAATGAATGAATGAATGAATGAACACAGCATGTAGGTGATTGCCTCACCAAGCTGAACTCCTGCCTGAGTCGCCCCCACCCATGGGTCCTGCTCTCTGAGCCACGGCCCATACAGCTGTTCTGTTTTCCAGAAGATCACCCCTGTCATCCGTTGTGTGATTCCCACCCATCCCCCTTCCCCTGCTTTAAAAGTGCAGAGGGGCCTCTTCAGCTAATCCTTTGTCCTGGGTCCCCTTCAAGACGTGCTCAGGCTGTCAGTCACTGTCCACATCCTGACAATGCCCACTAGAAGCTCTGCTGGGTGTGGGCGCCGGGCCTGGGGGGGGGTGCTGCTGCTGCCCGCACATCTGGATGGATTGCTGTCTCCCCTTTCACTTGTCCCGCCAGAGGGCCCGAGGCAGCTGGTTGTATGGGCCAGCGGGAGAAGCGAAGGGGTCATCCTGACGGTGGGGACAGGCTGACGTGCCATTGGGGTTCCCCTCCGCCCACGCAGAGAAGCCTCCGTACCACCCTGGGGGAGGCCTCCCCGTTTCCCCTGCGGGCTGTCTGGACTTGCCCCGGGAGAGGGCTGAGAGCAGGCCGAGGATTCTGACCTTGCCTGTCCTGGTCTCACAAGGGCCCTTTCCTGTCTCCCGAAGTTACCCACCCCCCAGCCCCTGTCGTTCGGTCTGGTAGTTCGCATTCCGGAAGCGCTGATGTGGCACTAAATATTCCTGCAGCTCCGGCCTTCTCCCCCGGGCCGGCGTCATCGCGCGGAGGCCGCTGGCTGGAATGTCCCTGGTATGCAGCATCCCGGCAGGTGAGGGGAAGGGCTGTGCAGGATGGGTCCCCACACCCAAGTCTGGGACTCTTAGGGGCCCGAGATAAAAGATATCCTCTTCCCACTCAGCTCCTCCTTCCCCAGCAGGCTTCCCCCACCCCCGCCCACCCTCCCACCTCCTGCCTTACACGGGGTTAAGCAAACAGTCCTCCGGTGGACGGAGGTCTTAGGACCAAACAGCTTTGTGTTACCTCTGCTTTCCTGAAAGTGCACACCCCAGCCCCCTGGTGAGACAGTGCTGATGGAAAGGGCTGTGTCCTCTTGCTCCTGCTCCATCCCACCCCTTGGTTCCCGCCTTGTGCAGCCCACCCCCCACTGTGACTTCCCCTCCCTGTAATCCCCCACCTGCAGCTTCTCCCAGCTCCCTGGAAGGCTTGCCGAGACTTGGGCAGGGCCCTTGGGGCATTGCTACAGTACTTGTGCCTAGCAAAGAGCCTGGCGTGTAATAGATGCTCAATACATATTTGTAGTTCTGTTTACCTCCATGCTTTTACCCAATCCTCCAAACCCCATCCAGGTCAAATGAGCCCCCGCCACCCCCAAGATATGGCATCCCACACACCTGGGTTGGAGGTCTGGTTTTCCCATTTGCTAGCCAGGCAAGTCACTTAACAGGTATTTGAGTCTCCCTTTCTCCTGTGAAATGAGCGTGGTAAAAAGGGTACCGCATAGGTAAAAAGGGTACCCTTTAAAAAGGCCATCCTGAGCATTGAATAGCACACATAAGGTGCCCAATACATAAGCACTTAATAAACAGTAGCGCCTATAAAAAGACAACCGCACTAGAATGCTTACAGCAGCACAATTCTCAGTTGCAAAGATGTGAAAACAATCCAAGTGCCCATCAGCACATGAGTGGATTAATAACAGGTGGTATATGTATACCATGGAGTTCTACTCAGCCACAAAAAACTATGGTGATCTAGCACCTCTTGTATTATCCTGGATAGAGCTGGAACCCATTCTACTAAGTGAAGTACCACAAGAATAGAAAAACAAGCACCGCAGGTACTCACCACCAAATTGGTATTAACTGATCGATACTTATAACATTCATCAGGTGTCGGGCAGGTGGGAGGGGGCAAAAGGGGATAGGTATATTCACACTTAATGTGTGCGGTGTGCACTGTCTGGGGGATGGACACACTTGAAGCTCTGACTTGGGCAGGGCAAAGGCAATATATGTAACCTAAACATTTGTAGCCCCATAATATGCTAAATTAAAAAATAAACAAACAGTAGTCCCTATTATTTCCCAAGGTGCAATTCTTCTTTCTAGCATAATTTATTTCCATTTTTTTTTGTTTGTTTGTTTGTTTGTTTGTTTGTTTTGAGACAGAGTCTCACTCTGTTGCCCAGGCTAGAGTGCTGTGGCGTCAGCCTAGCTCACAGCAACCTCAAACTCCTGAGCTCAAGCGATCCTCCTGCCTCAGCCTCCCGAGTAGCTGGGACTACAGGTGCTCGCCACCACACCCTGATAATTTTTTGTGTTTCTATTTTTAGTTGCTTGGCTAACTTTTTCTATTTTTAGTAGAGGTGAGGTTTCGCTCTTGCTCAGGCTGGTCTGGAGCTCCTGAGCTCAAGCGATCCTCCTCCCTCAGCCTCCCAGAGTGCTAGGATTACAGGCGTGAGCCACAGTGCCGGCCACATCATAATTTCTTATTGAATTGAATTTATGCATACTACCATCCTTCTCCACACTCTGTAACCTTGAGGATAAGATCTTGTTTGCCACACCAGGGATACAGCAATTATTAAATATCTCTGTCCTTCCACAGAGCTTACCATACAATAGGGCTTGATTCACCAGTGGTGTGGATAAACGCGCACTGCTAACCCCACAGCTGAACTCTAAGCTTCCCAAGGGTAAAAGGCCCCTATACTTTTCTGGTGTTTACTCAGAGTCTAGCCCAGAGTTCAGCAGGACTCAGAGACTTGGGACCTCAAGGCCCCAGGTGTGTGGCCTAAGCAACTTCTTGTTTGCTGTCCCATCTTGACCCCACAACTGCCTTGCCCTCCCCATCTCTTCCCCGCACTCAGTCACTTTGCCCTCCAGGTGCAGGGACGGAAGGTCCAGTGCTGCGAGGGGCAGACAGGTAGGCCGTGGAGGGAACCTGGCCGGTGTGGGGGACGTTGGGAGGCTGGGAATACCAGCGCGGGCTGGGTGAGGGAGGGAGCCTGCCTGAGGCCGGAGGCCACCTCCCATCTGCGGGTACTTTGTCCTCATCCTCCCTTTCATCCCCAGCACTCCGAGCCCAGCCCGGAGTTTCTCAATGGGGCCAGCGCGTGGGGAATGCTCTGCAGGGGGCTGAGGGGGCTGGACTGGGGGGGGGCAGTGGACATTCCAGGCATTCTTTGCTTCCTCTAGGAGTCAGGCAGGCAGCGGGGTGGACGGGAGAGGAGCTGCCGGCACTGGAGGATAGGGGATTTCTTTGGAGGGAGGGAATAAAGGCTGTGGGGTGTCTTGTGGGGGGAGGTGGTGTGGGGGGTAGGGCTTCAAGCAGATGGGGGAGGGGACAGAGAAGAGAGAGAGGCAAGGGTGGGGTTGGGGCTGGACAATCTGCCAAATCCCGTTCTTCCTCTTGCGCAAAAGGCTGGAAAGAGCAAACAGGGACCCTGGGCCCGGGGCTTTCCCACCTGTGTGCTTAGTAGGGCCAGGCCCGAAGGAACTACTGATGCAGGTGTAGCAAGAAGCCCTGGCAAGCTAGGAGTGCGGGTTTGTTTGCTTTGGTTTTGATTAAGTAATTTCTCCATTTCCCACCCTCGGGCGGCCAGGGGGAATGTGTACTGGGAGAAGGTACAAGGACCTAGCCCCCACCCCCTCCCCAAAGAGAACGACAGAGGCTGTTTTCCAATCACCATTCTGGTTTTAATGGAGGGTTCTTCCTGGCCACTGAGGCAGAGAAGAGGGACCATTAGGTAGACAGTCAACAGGACATGAGGGTTTGGAAAAGACCCCCTTCTCCGTGACCAGTGGGAACCATTGCAAGAATACCTCTCCCTCCGCAAAACTGAGACGTCATAGTGGATTTTCCCAGAACACGGCATTCACATTATCGAAAACAGCAAGATTTCACTTTTTATAAAACAGCGTCAAGAACAATTAAAAATAAATATGGACTTTCCAGGGTCCCGAAGGCCCAGAGAAATAGACACATCCACAGTCTAGACTTCAGGAGCAGCTTAGAGGCAGAAGTTGCGAGTCTCTGAGGTCAAAGTTGGGGTCCAGAGGAGGATGGGACCCCTGAGATGAAGTTCATACAGCAGCCTGAGCCTTTTCAAGTCTTTTAGATTCATAGCAGCGACTCCGGGAGGCTTGGGCCAGGCTGGGAGGATGGGAAAGGGAGAGAACCTTTGAGGAAACAGAAGTTGTGTTTTCTTACGCCTAGGATAAATAAGGGAGGGTCACTCCAGGCCATTCCCAGGACGTCCCAGGCGCATTGGGTGGCCACAATCAATCCAGTGCTAGCGGTGGGTGGGGGCTGGAACGTGCGTGTGCAGACAGTCCGGCCCACTCTGGCAGGGAATGGGCAGGGCCAGGGCTGCTCCGGGAGACACCCTGTGTGACACTTATCCATGGCAATGAAGGGCGTGGGCACCGATGGGCACACTGCCCAGTCCCCACGGCCCTGCCATGTGTACGAGAAACAGGCAACCCGGGCTCCGCCACGGGCCTGCCCATTCTACTCCGTTGCTCTACTCTCTTCCCCTCTGCTTGGTTCAACAGGGCTGAAGACGCTGAACCCCTGATGTACTTCGTGTACCTGCTCCCCACATCCGGCCCAGCCAGGGCTCCGCTGACGCCCCTCAGCCTTCTGAGCTGGGGTGCAGGGCCTGGGCGGCAGGGGAGAAGGCAGCGCCCGTCGGGTGCAGCCAGCTGCATCTTAAGCCTGCCCGGGCTCGGGCAGTCCCCCCACCACCACTCAGCCGAGCTTCGAGCAGACCCCCAGTGCCTGTCGGTAGGCCTCTGTCACCTCCGGGCAGTCTGTCAGGGAGAAGCAGCTATCCGCCAGGGCGTCCTGCCGCCAGCGCCGCAGGCAGCCTCCGGGGCCCTCGGCCGGGGGCTCCTCCAGACCCATGAGGTCGTCCACAGACACACAGCCCCGCAGCGGGGGCTCGGGGAGCCGCTCGGGCAAGTCCAGCTGGTCAAAGGACTCAGAGGACAGGATGCTGTCCTCGCTCACGGCCCCTGAGGGACGGCTGGTCCGGGCGGGGGGCCGAGGCGAGGCCAGTTTGTCCAGGGAGCCGAAGGCGGCGGGGGCGGTGAGCTCCGAGGCTGTGCGGGAGAACTTGCCATCGAGCTTGAGGATGCCCTTGCGGTGGAGGAGCAGCCCCGAGGCCTGGGGGGGCTTCTGCTCCACGGGGTCCCCACTCACAAACACGTCCCCTGCGTCCAAGAGCTCCCCGGACTCACTGGGCTCGGGGGAGGAGTAGTAGCCGGACTCGCGCTGCCGGGCCTTCTTGAGGATGCCCTTCCTGGGGGGCAGGGGCACAGCCTGCCCCGGGCCGGTGGGGACTGGGCTGGGCTCCGGGGGGTCCTCCTTCGCCCCCTCTGATGAGGAGGAGGTCAAGGCCGCCTTCTTGAGAATGCTCTTGGGCAGCTTGAGGCTGCTCTTGCCAGGGCGGGGGGCGGTGTCCTCAGCCGGGCTGCCCTGGAGAGACTGGGCCATGTCATTCTCCTTGCGGGACTTCTTGAGCGAGTGCTGGCGCTCCAGGCCGGGCGCGGCGCTCCCACCGCCGGGAGCGTGCTGCTTGAAGAAGCTGCACACCTTGGCCCCGTTCTCCAGGAGCGGCCGGGAGGAACGCCGGAGCCAGTCGGCCATGGAGGCCCGGGCAGAGTCGCCGCCAGTGTGCCCGCCCTCGCGCAGAGCCTCCTGCTCCACCACGCGGGTGGCATAGCCCCAGTTGACCCACCAGTGACTGGCCACGTCCTCCAGGGTGGCCCGGCGGGTGGGGTTCACCATTAGCAGCCACCGGATCAGGCCACAGGCGTCTGGAAGACAAAAGGCGGAGGCTTCAGTCTGGCCGCTCCGAGAATGGGCAACCCGTCTCCCCCGAGTGTCTCACCCCATTTGAGCCAAGACGCTGCCTGGCTCTATCTACATCAAGGCTGGCCTGGGCCCCAGCGCAGGTCGTGGGAACAGGGGAGGGAGGCTGTGAAGAACTAGACTGGGGGTCAGGAGACCTGGGTTCTAGTTCCAGTTTTGCCACTCTGGCTAGAGACCTGGCGCAAGCCACTACTTTTGGGGGAACTGAGTTTTGGGTCAGATACGTCCATTCCAACCTAGGCTCTACATACCCCAGCCCAGCCACCTCCCCCGTCCAGCCTTCCTGGATTGACTCCCCCTGCTGCCTCTCTGCCCCACGCCCTCTCAAGACTGTGACCCCTTCCCGTGCCTGTGCTGGTATGTCAATGTGTAATTCTCTCTCTCTCTCCACTGAATCCAACCCTCGGAGGGCAGAGACTGTGCGCAAGGGTATACTGGGGCTCTCACACCCTTTTTCCTGCCTTCTGCATCACAATGAAGGGACAAAAAGGTTTCTGAGAGTGAGAACAAAAACAGGAAATGAGACGACTGCAGCAAGATCTAAGTCGGACCTTAGGTAGCACTTCCCCACTCTAACCCAGCGTGCCCACGGGGGAAGGGAGAGCTATCCCCTCCTTCCTCAGAGGGCTCAGACATTGGAGAGATGGCTGTGGAGGGTTCCCTAATCTTTGCTGCAGGTCACAATGGACGGTCGCCCTCTTCACCCGGGTGCCACTGTTCACTTCCTGCTCCGGCTGAGAACCCCCCACCTCGCACTCACCGGAGGGCTTGGGGGGCTCCCGGTAGGCCCCGTGGCTGATCTGTTGCACCAGCGTCTTGTGGTCCTGCCCGTCAAAGGGCATGGTGCCGTGCACCAGGATGTACAGGAGGACACCCAGGGACCAGCTGTCCACCTGTGGGAGAGGGGAGATCAGTAAGGCCAAGGCTGCTGGACCCGCAGCGGGGGCTGCCAGCCTCAGCCTCAGCACTGGGGAAGGAAAGGGACCTGCTGGACCACTCAGGGGCCACACACCTGAGGACCACCCACCCCTGGTGCCCTGGGGCCATGAGGGGGACGCCGCACAGGGGCTGTTGCTCTCAGAGAGAGACGTCATCGCCTCCCCAGGAGGGACGGCCACAGCACAAGGGCAGGGTGGGGTGGTTGTGGTGGACACCACCTCTACATCAAGGCTGGCCTGGGCCCCAGCGCAGGTCATGGGAACAGGGAAGGTGAGGGTGTGAAGCACTAGACTGGGAGTCAGGAGACCTGGGTTCTAGTTCCAGTCTTGCCACTCTGGCTAGAGACCTGGCGCAAGCCACTACTTGTGAGGGAGCTGGGTTTTGCGCTCTGAAGAAGGGAGTTACCAGGAAACCAGCCCGCCTAGCTCGCAGGATCTGAAGTCCTGGGAAGTGACCGAGCTGGCGGAGGGCGGCCACTCACCTCTGGGCCCGTGTAGGGCTTCCCATTGACGATCTCTGGCGAGGCATAGAGGGGGCTCCCGCAGAAGGTCTGCAGGAATTTGCCTTGGTGGTACAGGTTGGAGAGGCCAAAGTCAGCAATCTGCAGGATTGGGGCAAATGCAGACCCAGGTCAGGCCAAGGCTAGGGTTGTTCCATAGCTCCCAGCACGTCCCTCTCCAGACCCTGAGGAATGCCAGGCCCCAGCAGAAGGAAAGGGTCCCCACAACCCCTGCCCCACACTGGGCACTGTCCACATAGCTTAGGCCTGGGAGAGAGAGCCCTGAGCAGGTGTGCCAGTAGGGAGCGCCCAGGCGGAGGCATGTGTGTGGGGGGGCTCCAGGATCCTGCTGCATCCCACCCAAGAAACCCTCTCTCCTGCCTGCATCCAGCAAGCCCACCTCCCCTGGGAGGCCTTCCACTGCCCTGAGATTGCCTCCTCCTACGAAGCCCTACAGCGGCCCACGGCTCCCGGGAGTCCCGGCTCATCAGCTGAAAGGAGCCAGATGGAGGGGGAGAGCCAGCTCCTCACGCCAACACACAGCCCTCAGGACCACCCTAAGCCGTGCGAGACTGGAGCTGCCCTCCTAGCACAGGGCTCATGCCTCTGCCCGCACCTGGCAGCAGGAAGCTGGGGTCCGCCCACAGTAGCTCTGAAGCAATAGTGAGGGCAAAGCAAGCAGCAGGGCTGTGGGGACAGCCCAGACAGGACCTTCACACAGGACCTTCACAAGGACTCCCTGAGCCACCTGGCACTGAGCGCTTGACAAGCCCCCCGATCCCACCCTCTCGCCCCCCATGGACAGCCTTTCCCAGCTATCCACAGGTAGAGGCCGAGGCCGATGGCCTGCTGCTCCCCACCCTGCCAGAGGATCATGCGTGCCTGGGCTGGGGAGGGGCTGTGTATGAAACTTGGGCTCCTTCCTTTATGGCTTTATTGGCCTCTTATCGAGCAGATACAGTTGAAGCCCACAGGCCTGTGATTGGCACAGACGTGAAGGTTCGTGCCTGTCCTGGTCATGGGTTTATTGGCTCTGGCTTCCCTGCCCCCGGTCAGCATCAAAGAGAGCCCCACCTTCTCCGGGAATTGGCTGGGAAGGGGGAATGAACTTAGCACTGGGAAACCTCAGGGCACAGGTCTGGAGCCACTGGATGGGACTCTGGCTTGGGTTCTGGAAGATTCTGAGTAGGGTCAGAGGGCAGACTCACCCTCCCAGGTGCCTGCTAGGGGACAGCCTCCTTGCCCGAGCCAGCCCTTGCCACACCCTCCTTTCCGAGATCTGGGTTTATTCCACCAACATGAGCTTCTCCTGCCTGACCTAACTTTAACTCCTTGGGAAGGAAATCCAGCAGCGGCAAGCAGGAAGCTGGTGCTGAAGTGCTTGGTCTGTGGGGACAGGTGCCACACGGCTACCTATCTGTAGCAGATTAGAATGTGCATGTGTGTGCGTGCAAGTGTGCACACATGCAGCCGGGGAGAAGAACTCCTGGCCCATCCCAAGGTTGTGAGCAAAAGCTGAGCCTAGATCTAAACTCCTGTCAGCCTTGTGATGTCAAAAGAACACTGGTCTGGGAGTCAGAAGACCTTGGTTCCAGCCCAGGCTCAGCCACTCACTAGCTGTGTGACCTTGTGCAAGTCACCCTTCGTCCTGAGGCCTCAGTTCTCATCCAGCAGGCGCTGGAGTGGATGAGGTTCCTGTCAGTACTGACATATTAAGTCTGATCTTTGCTCAACTCCTTCAGGAACCCACTAAGAGCTCAGAGCTACCTGGCTGGGGATGGTGCAGAAAAGCTAAGGTGGGGCAGGGAAGCTTCTGGAAACAAGTGGGGCTCACCTTGATATTTCCATTGGCATCTAGGAGGATGTTCTCCAGCTTGAGATCCCGGTGGACAACTCCGTTCTGCAAGGAGGAGGGAGTAGAGTCAAGGGACGGTCACCAGGGAAGGGAAGGGGATGAGGGGCCGAGGGAGCCAGGTGGGGCTGAGCACAGGTGGGCTGGGAATGCCCATCTTCACTGGCGTATGATGCAAGAAATCACAGCCCCTTCCGTCCCCAGCCAAGAGACTCAAAGTCAGAGATGCCAATGTTTCCTTGAGTGAGAGTCCAGAATCCAGTCTTGCCTCTGCTTCTGTCTCCCTGAGTGATCTGGGACAAGTTGTGGGCTCTCTCTGGTCTAAACCAGCTCCAGTGTCCCAGGGCTCAGCCCCTCAGAACACGGCTGGGGCAGGTGCGCGCTCACCTGGTGGCAGTAGTGCACAGCAGAGACGATCTGCCGGAAGAAATGCCGGGCGTCTCCCTCACTGAGCCGCTGCCGCTCGCTGATGTAGTCGTACAGGTCCCCGCGGCTGGCGTACTCCATGACGATCACGATCTTGCTGCTGTTCTCGAACACTGCGCAGAGCAAGGTGGGGAACGTCAGGCCCCCCTGCAGTCTGCTCTCCACTGGGGCCGCTCACTCCACCCTGGCCCCACACCAGACAGGACCTCCCTCTAGAGATGTCTGCCAATCGGGCTGCAGGACGAGGGCCTCTGAAGCTCCCAGCACCTTCAGGGAGCAATGAGTTAAGGCCGAGGACACTGCCTTGCCCTCCCCCTCCTTGGAAGTCCAGGCTTTGGAGGACTCTGAAAACTACCTGCAAATCCCCAGGAAGGCAGAGACATCACTGGCTGAGAACAAAGGGCCAGCCTCTTTGGTTTAGAACCCAGCTCTTTCTCGCCTGTGACCTTGGGCAAATCTCTTCTAGATACATCAGTAAGAATACAACTTTGCCGAGTGGTCTTGGACAAGTTATTTTACCACCGTGCCTCGGTTTCCTCATTTGAAAGGCAGGATGATAATGGCAGCCTCACAGGGCTGGGGTAAGAAACAGATATAAAAAGTCAGCAATAGCTTTGGGGCTGGCTGAGCAAGCTGGCATAGGGTCTGGCACATAAGCAAGCTCTCGATAAGTGGTACCTACTGTTATCTTTATAATCAGTGCCCTCATTAATAACTTTGAAAAATATTGCCAATAATAATGACCGCCTGGAAGAGCAGAAGAGGAATAACAGGATGCAAAAGTGGATCGTGAGCTACAAAGTACCGTGGAGAGCTGGGCCATTCATCACCCTCACCATCTCTGACTTCCATCCAGGCTGTCTGAGCCAGGGCCTCGTACATAGAAACAATCAATACGTATTTGGCAATTAATTGACTGGCTGGGTTCCTGGCCGCCAGCCCATCCCGGCTGGCTCAGCTCCACGTGTAGGAGGGCCCTTCCTGCCACCTCAGGCCCTGTCCTGGCTCCAGACCCCGGGAAAGGTAAGGCGTGGCTGGTTCACCAAACTGGCCCTTCAGCTGGGTGTGTGTCAGCACATGCACATCCATGACATGGCATCTTTGTGTCTGACAGGTCCTGTGACTTGCTGGGCCAGCCCCAGAGCTGTCACTGTCTAGTCTCGGAGAAGGAGCAGAGGGAGGAGGCTCCTCCCCTAGAGGGGTCCCCACTTCCAGGCACTCCTGGATACAGGGCCAGGAGGACTGTGCCTTTTTCCAGGGGAACATGAGTAAATGGCCCTGATCCACGGTGGCTCAGCCTCCTCTGGGGTGCCTGGCTGAGATTCCACCACCCCTGGGGCTCTCGATATCTCTGCAGGGGTTCGCTAACCTTTGTGCCATAAAGCTGGGGGTCAAGAGCCAGCCAGGGCACATTCTGGAGAGGAGCTAGGTCAGAGTTCACTTCCCAGGACTAGAGCCTCCCCCAGCCCACACCCCCTGAAGCCTGGAGCTAGGGGGGCCCTTCCAGGTACACTGTGATGCTCTGTGTGTGCTCAAGGTACACAAGAAGCCACATTCTGAGCTGCACGCTCAGTTCCCAGGCCTAGCTGGGGAGACGAGTGTGGGGGAGAAATCACACACACACAGACACACACACACACACATACACGCACGCACACTCTGCCAGTCACCAAGCTCAGCCCGGCTTAACCAATGCTTTGTCATCGGCCCACTCTTCCCTGAGGGAGGTACACAGAGATACAATTAGTCTTCTCAGCCACTTGCCTGGGCTCCCCATGGGACAGGCTCAGGCCACAGGGCCATGTCAGTGGCTCTGCCCTTCATCTTCCTACAGACAGGACCTGAGAGCAGACACTGCTCCATTTTTTACCCCACTCGGAAAATTCAGACAGAGGCTCCCTTCCCTCCCCCCCCCCTGCTGCTACTGCTCTCCCCGGCTTCCGGTCTAATTGACATTATGTAAAGGCTCGAAGCAGACAGGTGTGTGTGGGAGGGTGCTCCCCCTCTTTCCCTCGTCACCCTCTCTTGCTTGCTCTGTTGTCTGGGTCACGGGGCAGGGGGCAGCCGGGGTGGCGAAGTCGGCACTGACGTCAGAGAGGAGGAGGACAAGAGGGACGAGGAGAGGGAGCAGCCAGCCCCTGGCCGGAGCGATTCAGAGCACAGGACAGACTCTAGGAGATCTGGCTCTTGGGACCATGAAGAACAGCGTCCCTGCACCTGAGCCGGGCGCACATGTACGTGTGCCTCAGCCTCCCTAGGACTGCTAAGGGTCCAGCTGTGTTGTTGGGAGGGTAGCGTGCAGGGAGGGAAAACCTAACGATGACAAAAAGCCTGCACTCCCTAAGTACCTCCCTTGAGCTGAGCCCTCCGTGACATTATCCAGTTTGATCTTTGCGGCCACCTCGTGATGTACGTGGGAGTATCCCATTTTGTAAACGAGGAACCGAGGCCCGGAGCCTAAATGAAATGGTGCCTAACGTCACACGGCTGGGTTTCAAATCCAGCTTTTGCCCAACTCTAAACCCTAGGGTTTTTTCACTTCTTCGTGTTGTCTGTTCTGACTCCTTCTAAACACACACATGCACACATACATGCAGGCACACGCATACACACTCCAGTCCCCCGCGTACCCTCATGGATGGCGATGATGTGAGGGTGGTTGAGTGACGACATGATCTCGATCTCCCGCCGTATGTGCTTCAGATCTTGCTCGTCTTTGATTTTGTCTTTCCGGATGGACTTGATGGCCACCTGGGAACAGAGCATGCGGGAGAGTGAGGAGAAAGGTCTGACAGGTAAAGGCATCTCTGAGGACGTTCTGGGGGCCCTCCTGGCCCTGCTGGCCTGCCTGCACCCGCCACAAAGGCCGCCGTGTGCACCCAGAGAGGCCACTCCATCCTTCCCCAGGGTGGGTGGCAGGGCGGCCGGAGAGCACCTTCTCTAGAAAAGGTTCCCGCCTGGGCTGGGTACAGTCCATGCAGCAGGAAGGAGTATGGACCAGTGGCCTCCTTATTCAGAGTGTCTAGTTCAGGGGTCCTCAAACTTTTTAAACAGGGGGCCAGTTCACTGTCCCTCAGACCGCTGGAGGGTGCAGCGCACATTCCACACATGCGCACTCGGGGCCCGGGACGCGGTGCCTGCTAAGCAGGACAGGCAGCGGCTGCAAAAACACCCGCCGGGCCGGATAAATGTCCTCGGTGGGCGGCATGTGGCCTGCAGGCCGTAGTTTGAGGACCCTTGGTCGTTGAACTAGGAAGGCAGCCACCTGCCTTCGTAAGACGGATGCTGTACGATTTATACAGCCCCTGTGCCAGGCCACACCAGGACGAGGATGGGGCCTGTTTTGCTGACCACGGACCCTTGACGCTGAGCACAGTGTCTGGCACGTGGTTGGCACTGGATAACTGTTTGTGGCATTAGTGAAGGAACCGGCCCTCACAACAGCCCTGGGAGGTAGGCACAGGAAATGTCACCGTCCCCGTTTGCAGGGGAGGAACCCGGGAACCCCAAGAGGTTAAATGACCTGCTCAGACATATGGTCACTAACTGGGGTGACCACTGGTGATCACTAACTGGGGTGATCACCAACTGGGGGGAGACCACTGGCCCTCTGACTCCACGTTTGGTACTTTATCTGCCCCCAGAGCATTCAGTTGCCTTAAACGACTAAATTCTAGCCGAAAAGTGAAAACAGCCCAAATGTCCCTCAACAGATGAAAGGACAAACAAAACACGGTCTATCCACACAATGGAGCCATAAAAAGGGAGGGAATTCTGACACATGCTAGAAACCTTAAAGACGTTATGCCCAATGAAATAAGCCAATCACACAAGGATAAACATCGTAGGATCCCACTTGTGCGAGGCACTTAGAACGGGCAAATCCGCAGAGACAGAAAGTAGAATGGTGGCTGCAGGAGGCCGGGAAAATGGGAGTTGTGGCTCCATGCCTATAGTTTCAGTTTCACTAAACGAAAAGAATTCGCAGACTGGTGAACAGCAATGTGAACTTGCTTAACCCTATTGTACACTTAAAATGGTTAAGTTTTACGTTATATATATTTTACTATGATGTTTAAAAACGTTGCCCCCCAAATTATAGGGAGGAAGAAAACTCAAACACCAATCTCTTCTGTCCAGGTAAGGAAATATTCCTCCCCTGGTGACAAACGACTCGGCAGTTAAACAGAGAGCTCAGGCCCTGCCATCTCAGTCTCTACATGTGAAAAACACCACGTAAGGTTTAATCCCCGTGGCTGGGGCGTGTCATGTGCTCAGGAAGGGTGGGGCGAGGCAGGGGGACACACAGGAGCTGCCAAGATGCAGTGGAAGCCGCCTCTTAGGGACCCAGGTGGCCGGGTGTCTCTCTGCTCCACCCTACTCAGCAGCAGCTGCAGGACAATGCCCCAGGAGCACCAGGTCACAGGGGGACAGGCCTTGGGAGCCAAGGGGCCAGCCCCCGTTCTAGGCCCTTATTCTGTGGCTGTCCCTGTGGGCGAATCCCACCCTTTCTCAGCGCCGCGGTTTTCTTTTCTGTGAAATAAACAGGTTGAGCTAAGATGTCTGGGGCTTTCCTGCTCTGAGTCCCCGCAAAGAGCCCTACAAATGCCATGGCCTGGCCCTCCTTGCAGCTGCACGGCTGGCATGGGGGCTGGGCGGGGGTGGGGCGTCCGGGGCCAGCCAGTTCCTGGCAAGTCCTGTCCAGGAACACGGACAGTAAATAGGAGACTTCCTCTTCGCGGGAGATAGGGGAGCGATGAGACTCCGAAGACGATGCAGACCGGGATAAATAGCTCTTCATTTCCCAGGAGGGCTTGCCTCCCCTCCGGACTCAAAGGGAGACAGAGAAAAGGAAACCCCTGCTTGAGGGGAGGGGCCTCTAATCCACCCTTTCAAAGGGCTCTGCAGGCAGACAATGGCTTCCGGCTCGCAGGGCTCACGGGGACAGCGGCCTGTGCTCCCCGTCGGACAAGAATGCGGAACAGCCCTAATCCCGTCAGAGGAGCTGCTCACAATGCCCGCCAGCCCGGTCACCCCGGCAACGGGCCAGGGATGGCGTGCCCTCCGCCCTGCTCCTCCCCCAGAGCCGGGCCGGTGAAAGAGGGGAGGCCCAGTGCTTGCTCAGGCCCTCCCCGAGCAGGGCACAGAGGACAATGGCAGGAGGGAGGGATGGTCACCATGGAGCCTCCTCCCCAAGATGCGGGAGAGGCCCATGCTGCAGCTGCAGGGGCCGGGGCTGCCCGCCTTCCGCTCCAACAAACCATCCATGTCTCTCCAGTGAGCTAAGCCAAAAAAAATCCCTGGGCTTGGAATTGGGCAGGGGTGGGGAGTGGGGTGTAGAGGGCTTGGATCCTCTCTCTAGCTCGGAGGCACCCCTCTCTCCCGGATTCAACCTGGGGCGTCATTCCCCCACGCCTCTCTCTCCATACCCCTTTTCTCTCCCTGAGGGGAGATTTTGTGGACTAGTTCTTTTCTCTCTAAAATTCTTTGTTTCTAAAATCAAACAATGGATATAGCGCTATGAGCTCTTTAGAGACAAAGGTCCATTAAAATGTATTAATAGATAGTAAAAGCAATCATGTGAACACAAATCACATATCCAGACAATCAAAAAATTTGAGAACTTAAGAGGTACACGTATAGAAGACCTAGGCACATCTTAGATATAGACGCTTGTGTACTCACAAACGTAAACAATAGTGAAATAAGTCACTACAGGCTTAGGGGGCTGAACTCTACAGATGACAAGGCCTAAAAGAAATGAGGTTCCAAAAAAAAGGGGGGGGGTCTTTGAGGTGCTACAAGGAGTCTCCACAAGGGCAAGAGGGTACACAAGTCCAACCCTGAGAGCCATCTCTTTCAACTCTGGAAGCCCAAAGTTCTCACTCAGAATTGTTAATTCTCAGTGAACAGCTCCATCCTCCTGCAAACTCCTGCTCTGGCCTCAGGGGATTTAGGGATTTATCAGGGACCCTCCAGTTATCTATGTTAGGTTCTAGCACATCACAGCTTGGCTGGCACTTCCCAGGAGAGAAGCAAGTTATTCATCAGGCCTCCAACAGTAGGCCCTGCTCCCAGCCTACCCCAGCCCCAGGGGAGAGGCCTCTAGCTAGGGAGAGGCCTCTACATGTCGCCTGGATGGCTTGTCAAAGTAAATTAGAGCTAGCAACCACTCAGGCCTAGACAGAGCCTAGCTACCGAATGCATTCAACAGTTGTTTACTAGGGACACAACTCACAATAAAATTATTTATTGGTTAAGTCATCGGGCTGATCTTTGACTGATGGGACAGCACCCAGATAAGATTTTCTACCCCTCCTCCCAGGCACGGGTACAGTCAACCTGTCTTGAGGACTAATTTTTAAGGACCTTTGTTCTCATCTGCAAGTTAGTTGGGGGACTACTTTCTAGAATAAAAATAAACTTTCTAGAATAAAAATAAACTGACTAAAGCCAAGGAAGAGTGTAACAATTGCTGAATGGACCACCCAGAGGAAGGAGGGTCACATGCCCAGAGACAGTCCTGGTATAATTATTAATATTGCCCCTTTTACTGTCCAAACTATCCGAGTGTAGACAATAAATCATATGACCACCCTACGCAGAGGGGGAAGGAAAACCAGGCCCAAGGATGATAAGGTAAACGTGAACACCTGATTAGTGGAGTGGGCACTGAGAGCCCAGGTATCTAATCCTTATTGTCCCTATCGAGCTACCCAACTCAAGACAAGTCACTTAAATGATCCAGTTAACTGGTCTGGCTAGTTCTAATGCTCTCATATGAAAAACGAAAGGACATTTATTCTTCAAACATCTGCTAAGTGCCTATACGTGCTATGCTATGTGTTAGGGATTCAGACAAAACTTAGTCCCTGTGCCAAGGCCTTCAGTCCAGGGGGAGGACTAGCAATTAAATCAACTCCAGTCTGGTGTAATAAATGTAGCAGCTGAGGCCCCTCTCTGCAGAGGGGCTCCAGGAACACTGGAGAGAGCTTTCTTTCCCTGCAGAAGCAGGGAAAACCACCCTTGGGAGAGAACTAGTTCAGAGCTTGAAGGGTGAGTGAGCTTTGTGGGGCCAAGGGAGGTGGGCTAGGTTGGGGCAATGGGGCACTCCAGGCAGAAGGAAAGGTTGGAGCAAAGGGCTGCAAGGAAGGAGCCACTCACAAATTTGAGCATCAGGATCTCAAAACTCCCTTCCAAACTCTGTTCTGTGCCGAGCTTCTTCAGAGAGCGCCTGCCAAGGATTGTTACCAAGGGCCCTGTCCAGAGGCCCCTTACTATGACCATGTTCACCTGCCCGAGCATAATTCTTCCCGACACCATCCCAGCGATGTTTTTGCCCCTGCAGCCATGAACATTGGAAAGGAGGAGGGGCCAATTCCATATCCTGTTTTGCAAATGGAAAACACTGGGGTCCAGAAAGGCACACTGACTTTTCCAAGGCCCCCCAACACATCGAGACAGAATCAGGATCTAAGATGCAGGGGTTCTGCCTGGAGAAGTTTCCATCTCAGAAGACAAAGGGCATGCCTCACATCTTGCCCGGGGCCAGGCTGTGCAGTACACCACCAGCCACCCCCATCCTGCTTGTGGACATATAAACATGCCCCTGCTCCTCTGCCTACACCCTGGAGAGGTAGGTGCTGGGGCTTGATGGGTAAACCCTGCCTCCCTCCCAGGAACTAAGAATGGTAGAAAGTTCTTAGAAACAGAGGGCCCAGAGGTGCTGGTTGCAGGTGCAGGGAGAAGGGGTGCAAGCTGGGCATCTCTGGTCATCGCTATCACCTGGAGCCAGAGCCAAGCTCCTTGACTCCGCTGCTCTTTAATGGAGCAGCTGCTGTCAGGGAGGCAGGGCAAGGAACTGGAGGATGACCCATTTAGATAACGGAGGACAGGTTGGGCTGGGCTGGCCCAGGCTGGGCAGAGTGAGGATGGGCCTGGGGGTGGCTCACCATCCCACCAACCTGCCGAGGACAAGGAGGAGATCAGGACTGGGCTCTGAGGGGAGCCTAAGCCACCTCCCCTGAGCCCCATACTGTACCACCCCCTCCCTGCCACCCTCCAACCCCCTCTGCCAGGTTGCTGGGCAAGGAGCCTCCCTGCCCAGCCCTCTTGTGTGGTTTGGCCAGAGCCCAAGGACAAGAGTCGCCTGCAGCCTCCGTCCCTGCAGCTGAACAGGCAGGTGCAGAAGGAGCTAGGAGGGCAGTGTCCCGCCGAGCAGGCCTTTGGTAGCTGGCCAGGCGGGAGTCCTCTGGAACTAGGGCTGAAAGAGAGGCTGGGACTTGGAACAAAGCAGAGATCAAAGTGGCTTGGCTTAGGGAAGCTGGGCACAATCCATGCTCTTTCTCAGAGCAGGGCAGACCGAGGATGGTGGCGGGGGGTCCCCAGGAGAGGAAAGGAAGGCTTGGTCAAAGCCAACCTTGCTGGAATAATAACTATGTCAGATACTGCGCTAAGCACTGTGCATAGACTATCTTATTTAATCCTAGGAGAACCCCACAAGGTAGGAATGATTATAATCCCTACTTTACAGATAAGGAAACTGAGGAATGAACAGGTCGCACAGCTGGTAAGCAACAATGCCATAACTTGAACCCTTGCAGTCTTGACTCTGAGCTAGGCAGTCTCCCCAGTAAGTTTTAAACACCGGGACTATAATGTAGGACACTCACCCAGGATTCCTTAACACAGTCAGTGTATGTGGGGGTGCGGGTTGGTTCCCAGTGACTCTCCCACCCTCAGCACTGCCTGGAGCGCTGGGAACGGCAGCCAGCGAGCTAGCTGTTGGAATGACACAGCGCACTGGGGCAAGCCGGGGCTCATCTCAAGGCCAACTCCCAGTCCCAGACTCAGTACTTGGTCACTCAGAGCCTGGGTGGTCAAGTCCATGCCTGTGCTGCAGGCAGGTTACAGGCCCAGGATAAGACACTTCCCCTCTCTGGGCCTCAGTTTCCCCATCTGTCAGTGAAGGAATCAGACCATCTCAGTCATTTTCAAACCTTCTGGAATCCCACATGGCAACCCAATATATCAAAGGGACAGAGCGCCCCTGCCGCAGAGCACTACCCTCTTGGACTCCCTCATCTCCCGCAAGGCACCCCTTGCAAGTGAGACTACCATGCAGATTATCCCAAAGGCTCTGGTGGCCTCTGCCATGCCAGGGACCTCACTCAGCATGTGTTTTTCTCTTCAGGGGGAGGGGTGGTGAGGGGAGCAGGGAGAATCACAGGAGGAAATGTCATTTGGATACCAAGATCCAGAGCAAATATTTGTTTTTCCTTTGATGCCCTCTTGGAGCAGCCGTTAGTCCCGCCCACCTGCCCTTCCCTCTGCCCATCCCCTGACAATCCCATCTAGCAGGCCGAGAGGGGGAAGTAAACTAGAAAGGTGGAGGGAAAATTGGGATGGAAGTCACCCAGCAGGCTTTCCTCTCAATCTAGCCCCCACCAACAATCCCAATTCATGTGAGGAGGGGGGTCATGGGCAGCCCCCACGTGGCACCTGGCCTCTCTTGGTTCAGGGAGGATGGTAGAGGGGCAGGGTTGGGGGCAGTGTGCGGAGGAGGGCAATGCTCCAACATTGAGAATCCATCGGCTCGGCAGGCAACTGCTCTCCAAGAAGAAGGAGAGCTGAGCAAGTTCTCAGCAGCAGTACTGGGTGGTCTAGATCAGGGAGGCTCACAGCAGGCCCACGCCTACTGATCTTGGCTCCCTTCTCACAGCAAGAGGCATGTGGCCAGGGAGTATCTTCAGAATTCTCCCTGTTCTGATGTAATAAAAGCTGGAATTCCTGCCTAGAGCTGCTGAGGCTTGAAAACTGAAAGCTGGTTTATCTCACTCCGGAATCAAATGAGATCTCCGTCTTTCTCTTTCTTTTTCTCTCTCTCTCATACTCACATCCACTCTCTCTCTCTCTCTCTCTGTCACACACACACACACACACATATGCAGTGACCCAGGTCAAGAACCTGATGGGATCTCTGAACTTCAATCTCAGTTTCCTGGCCACCCCAGTCCTCACGACCCAGTCCCCACCCGCACCCCCCAGGAGGCAAAAGGCACAAGCCACGAGCAGCTATTTTCCAGCTGAGCCACTGACAAAGCCTGGGCCCAGCAGTCTCAAGCCTGGGGCCTCACTGGGTCCTCACACTTTTAAGAGAAAGAAAAGGAAAGCCAGGAAGTACATGATTGCCCAATAGCTGTAACCTGGCAGCGGGCAACTGGGGACTGTGCCAGGCGAAAGCAGGAAAAACATACTCAGTCCTATTGATGGGGCCATAATCCACCCCTTTCTCCAACATCCACTCTCCTTCACCAATGAAATGACTTCTTGTATTTCAAACCAGCTACTGGTTGCAAAAGCAAACACAACCTGGGGAGGAGGCAACCACTGCCATAGCCAATAGGGCAAACCATAGCCACGCACACACGTACGTACTTACACACACACACACACACACCTTACAACCAGCACCCAAATGGAGTCAGCAAAAACATAATCCCTAAACCACCTGCTCTAAAAGGCTTGTTAAAATACAGATTATATGGCCCCATCCTATACCTTCAGAATAAATTCCACTGGGTGTGGAACCAGAGAATAAGTATTCTAAACAAACACCCCAGGTGATTCCTGTGCACATTAAACTCGAGTAGGAGAACCACAGTGAACCAATGGTAACTAACTTTTGGCAAGTTTGCCATCCTTTCTGGGCTGGCCTTTCTAGATACACATAGTAGTTCTCACTGCAAGTTCTATGTGTCAGGGACAATTCAAGTTCACATTTGTATCTTATTCAGTCCTCATAGCAGCTTGTGAGGCAGGCTGTGTTTTCTCCATTTTTGCAGAAAGGGAAACAGAGTCAAGAGGTGAGGAAACTGCCCAAGTTCACACAGATTCCTGTGACTACTACACACACACACACCAAATTAAAAGGGCAAGGTCCTGAAAAGGGCCCAGAGGTATCTTGGGGGCACAGTAGACTTGGTATCAGTGCCTGGTTTCATATTTTCCAGAATCAAAACCTCATCATAAGGAAACTTCCACTAAATCTTAGAGCTGTAAAGGACGTAAATGTCAAGCCCGCCCCTGTGCGGATCTCCACAGCACGCTGGGACGCCAGACTCTTTAGAGTTGAGGAACTCCACACCGCATCCATTCATTCAACCACACACATATTTATCAAATTCCTACTAAGCTCAGGTGCCTTCTCTTTCCACTCTATTGAACAGTCTGTTCCAGGCAAAATTCATCTTAAGTCCCATCTTCCCTAGGGAGCCTCCCCATCCCAAGACAGGACAACGTTGTCCTCTGCGCGCCCCGGGCCAGCCATCCGCCTCACTTGTTTGGCAATCCATCCCATGCGGTCTGGTGCTCCTGGGGTCCTAAGGTCTGCGACCACTGTCCCTCCGGTCGCGGACAGACACGTCTGCAAAGGACACCCCTCCGCACACACTGGCCCCCTCGGCGTGGTGGGACTGCACGCTGGCAACTCCCCGGAGCAACGCGCGGGCCCCCGGCCCAGCCCCCTTCACTCCCCGGCAGCCGCCGAGCCCGCGCCCGCTGGGCCGGCCAGAAGGGAGCCGCACTCACCAGGCGCCCCGAGCTCTCCCGCGCCTTCTTCACCTTCCCGTAGGTGCCTTTGCCCAGGGTCTCCAGGAACTCGTAGCGGTGCCGCAGGTTGTGCTTGTGGTGGTGCCGCTTCACCGCCTGCCTCTTCATCAGGGGCTTGGGGGACTTGATGAGCCCGTCGGCCAGGGGCCGGGCGGGCTCCGCGGCCAGCGCGGCGGCGGCGGCCGAGGCAGCAGGGCCGAGGCGCGGAGGAAAAGCCAGTGACTCCATGGCGAGCAGGACGGGCGCGAAGGCGACAGCGCAGTCCAGCGGCCGCGCGCGGAGAGTTAGAGCCCGCGGCGCCCGTCCAGCTCCGCGCAGGGACCCCGCGGCCGCAGCGCAGCGCTCGCGAAGCGCAGCATTCCAACTTGTTATAAGCGCTGCCTGCCCGAGGCCCTGGCCACGCCCCCGCCCGCGCCCATTGGCCGGCGAGCCGGGCGGCGCGTGACCGCGGCCTCCCGCATTGGCTCGCCCGGATCCCGGCCCCGCCTCCTCCCCTGGGCGTGGCTGGGAAAGGTGTCAATGGAGCCCGCCCACCTGGGCCCCCGAGGCCAGGACGGGGGAACGGGGGATTCCGGCGGCCGCGGAGGCCGGCTGGAAGTCCAGAACCTTGCTCCGAGGGCCCTTGGAGCTGTTCTTGCCTCTTGAGTGGCGCTTGGTCCTGGTTAGAGCCCCTGTTTTTCTGTTGTGCTGTGTTCTCAGTTGGCAAGGAGCAATCTGAGGGCGCTGGAGGTCACCAAAGTATTTCTCCATCCTCAGTAATTTGCTTCTCCCAAGCCCAGGTCTATAAAAGTTGCTGGGCCACTTCTTTAAGTCCATAAAAAAGAAAAAGGGATAGGATATAGGACAGGGGTAGAATCAAGCCAAATGAGAGCGCTGGTGGAGAACTGTTCTAGGGTTCTGAGTTCACTCGTTTTCAGTTAGATCAACCTTAATTGGATCCCAGAATCTAGTGGTCTTGGAAAGTCCTCACCTGTTCCTCAAAGAGGGCTTCCGGGGTTGAGTGGACCCCTCAGAGGTGGTGGAATTTATGAAGTGTTGGCAGGAGCTGGAGAGAGCCAAAAGGGAAACAGGTATTCATTAAAAAACATATATTACAATCCTACTATTTAACTTGTATCCCTAAATCTGTAAATAGATGCCCCACCCAAAGTGTTCTTGCCCCTGATTTCGGAACCAGGAGGACTGGTGATAGGTCATGATGTGTGGCTTGGGCTTTGAGGGTTTTTAGGTCCAGAATCTGTGTTCTGAGCATCCATTTAGAGTGAAATGAGAATGTCCATAGGTTTTCTTCCTTGCTCTAAGTGGGAAGAAGAAAGGCACTTTTCCTCTTGCAGCTGTCTTGATAACTTAATCCTGTGAAAGGAGTATTATTCTGCCCAAGGCCACACAACTGGTGAGAAAGTGGCAGAACTGGGA